TATTTATTTGTTTGTTTGTTTGTTTATTTATTTATTTATATCCCGCCCCTCTAGACAAATGGACCTTGTCAGTAGTAAATGGAATCAGGAAAATATCATAACCAGTGGGTATTCTGGTTAACTCCTAACCTTTCCTCTGTGTTTGAAGTTAATAATAGATATTTACTCAGAAGAAAATTGCAGTGGAGACTTTAATATTGCAAAGGCAGTGAATTCAATTTTTAATTTGAATGTTATAGGAGCTATCCAGGGTGCTGAATCCTATCCTCAAAAATAGGTCCAGCTCAACAGATAGCTCCTTTGAAAAATAAGGGAAGATTCACCACCTCCTCCTCCAGCTAAGAAATCAGAATCACAAGCCGCCACCAGCTAACTGGGTCTTTTCAATATAGCTATCAAAGCCACTTCACACAATACAACACACATGAATATACTCTAGTCCTGTTACATCCATCAATCTACTATGGCAATTTTACCTCTGATTTTAATCCTTAGCTTGTGTTTGCTTAGTCTGTGTTCATATGAAATCTCTTATGTTAGATCTAGGGTGGCTATTTTTACACCAATCAGTCAGTGAGCAAGGCACATGTATGTATGAATTAGCATTGGAATTACATGACGAGAGTTGTGCGCTATTTAAAAAGATGGAAATTGTTGTTAGAGAGGCTGCCTGCCTAATTCTGAAATTTGCTTCTGCTGTATTTCTAAAAGACAGTTTTAGAAGAAGTGCATATGTGTTCCAATTTAAGCCTCAAGCAGGTTTGCTTGTGTGGGAAGTATGTTTAATCCACCTCCATTTATATCACTTGCTGAGCTCACACACTCTTTTAGAAATGTTTTCCATCAGTGAAAAAAAGAACAATGTTTGGAACACATGCACTGGCGCTTGTCAATATAAGATATTATGTGACTATCTTCTCGACAATGTTTTCATGCATAACTGTATTGTTGCCTTTCTGCACTGCAAGAAATGTCACAGATTCCAAAATCTGTATGAAATACTAAGGGCAGGTTGTCTGGAGCTTTAAAAAACAACAACCACAAGTCTGCTAGAAAGTGGGGGGGAGCGTTTTGTAATTGTACATTCATTATGAAATGGCCATGATCTGCCATAGAATCTTCAGTTCTGGCCCAGCTGCTGTCTGTCTAGCCTAGCAACCAATCTACACTGATGCCAGAGAAGAAAGCAGAAGGATTATCAAAATCTCTGGTGCTTGACAAGTTTTTCCATTTTTCAAATTTTGTGTCCACGTCATTTTTAAGATACAATGGGTGTCTTATCATTTGCAGCCTTGTGAACCTTTTAAACCATTGGTTTCCACAATCTGGGAAGCAGAGGTGATAGCATTCACACAATAAACAGAAGCAGATGCAGCTGGAGCGAGGGTGAGCTGATCCCCAGGGTGCTTATGTATGGCTCCTGTGGGAGCTGTCAGCTGTGGTGTGATGATGGATTGTTTGGTAGAGTGTCTGGCTTTCAGCAGCTTATGTCTATAATATGCTTTTCAGTTAAAAAAATCTCACTGTTATGTGCATAATATAAAATAAACTGCGACATAAACATGTCAATAAATGCACTGATGTCCTATAGCCAAGGTCATCATTGGGTCAAAGGCTGAATACAGGGGTGCACATGAGTAATAAAATCTGGTCCGTTTCTAATGGCACCCAACAAATCTTAAATCAAGTAGAAAGGCTCTTTTTTTTCTTTTTCTTTTTTTTTGCCACATACTTGCAAAGCGTATGTTCTGCCTTTTTAACATTTCCCAGGAGAACATTTTCTGCTCATATTATGACACAGGACATTTTATTGGCTGTAGGTATCTATGACCATGTTAAAACTGGAAGAGCATTTAACAGTCACCCTAATGATGTATGTGCACCACCTAAAGTGGACAGGGCAACCTAGGGCTGTACATGGCCCATGGACTAATCTCCTCTGGTTGCCCCTGACCTACCTTTAAAAACCTTTTGTTGAGGGAGCTTCACTGCCTCACTCCAGTTTGGAGCCTGCTAAAGCTGCTGGCTGCTTTAGGATGATGCTGGAAAGATGGCTATACCAATTTCAGAGGGCTGAGCATCCTCCCTCAGCATGCTTGCCCCACCCATTGTCTTTGAGAGAGACTGAATATTGCACTTTGTAAGTGAATGTGAGACTTGAAGGAGAACTGGCAACCTTTAGCTTCCCAAGCCAGAGATGGGGGAAAGAAATGAGAGAAAAGACCCAGGGACATCTCAGAGAAAGGCAACAAAAAGTGTGGCTCCCTCTGAAAGTTGTGGAAAAGGTTTGAGAGAGGAAACACAGGTGAGAGCTGGCAGAAAGGCTGCTGCATACGACAGGTGAGGGTTCCTGTCAACACAAAGAGATTAATAGTGGAAAACACCATGTTGTTTTTTGTGTGCAATCAGGCTTCGTCTGTCATCATATCTGATACATATCATCTCTATTTATGTTTTACTCTTAAATCTCTCTCCAGTTCAGTTTAAATTGCCAGTTTGCATTAGCTTATTTATATTTTATTCAATATTATATTTTTAAATACATAATACAGTAAGTGAAATACATATTGAATAGCTGGTTGGCTATTGCAGAGCCAGAGGTTGGGAGTTTGATCCTCCACTGTGCCTCCTGTGAATAGAGCCAGCCCGTGTGGCTTTGGAAAGCTGCACAGTCCTGGGGTGCCCCATGAAGAAGGGAATAGCAAGCCATTTCTGAATACTCTCTACATGGAAAACCCTGAAAAATGGTCACTGCAAGTCAAAATTGACTTGACATGAAGATGATGACGATGATCCTGTGTCACCCGTGCGAGCCAGGAGGGGAGGCTGAGGAGCCTGATGCTGAGGGAGGCCCGGGAGGAAAGAACTAGAAAACGGGCCTTCTCGGCGGTGGCTCCTCGCCTCTGGAATAACCTGCCTCTGGAGATTCGCACTGCACCCTCGCTGGGTACTTTTAAGAACCAACTAAAAACATGGATGTATAGGCAGGCCTTCCCTTCCAGTTAATTCCTGACCTCTTTCCTTTTCTCTCTCTCTTTATTTGATTTATTTTGTATTTTTCCCATCTTGCAGAATCATTTAATTAATTAATTGTTATAAATTTTTCTTAAACTTGTTATGTTTTATGTTGTAAGCTGCCTAGAGTGGTCGAAATGACTAGATAGGCAGGGTATAAATACAATAAATAAATAAATAAAAAGATGATGATGATTGATGTAATGGTGACATGAAATTGTTTCTATTGTTTTGGATAGTTATACTTGTTATTTGACATGTTGTCAGTCATTTGGGCCATTATTAGTGGAAAAGTGGGATATAAGTAAACCAATTGCTGCTGCTGATTCAGATATCTGCAAAAATAATCTACCTCTTCTCCAACAAGGTGGGGAGTAATAACAAGAAAGAGAGAGAGGCAGCAAAGAAACACTGTAGATCTTTTTGCCCTTGCCCTGCCCATTGTTGGCTTCAGCTCTGCCCACCAGTCAGATGTGGCTGGATTGTGCCCAAGGGAACATGGCCCTTGACCCCCTCTCCCACCCAAAAAGGGTTGTCATCTTTTAAGAAGTAAGTAACAAATTAACGGAGGGAAACCCAAATGCAGAAAATACTAGCAGATGGACTCTCCTCACAGAATGGCACATTGGGTCTCCTGGGAAGCTGAAGAGGCATTAGCCTGTCATTGTCTGCATCCATTACTAATCCTGGGATGCTCTCCGTCTCCGAACCTTGCATGAGACAGCATGGCAATGAACCACAAGATTGTGTTATTGTTCTGGCATGATTCTCTGAAATGCCTTGGGAAAGGATACACTATCCAGACATGCAGATTGGCAATCAAATGACCAGTCTTCAGCGAACATTTCCTCTGAGGCACAGGGTACATGTATTATTTACAAGATGGAGTGAAATTAATGAAATACATTAATTACAGTTAAGAAGATGTTCTCATTCTCCCAGCTGAAGTTTTTAAAAAGAATAACTGCTTAGCAGCTAGTGATCGCATTACCTTACCTTCCCCACCACCACCACTGTAGCGGGACTGCAGTAAACAGTGACACTTTTTTGAGAGTTATTTGCATTTTAAAAATCTACTACTATTCATGTTTTTGGAACTTCTTTACAACTTTGGAACCACAGCTACATCTCTGTTTTAAGAACATGAGTGTAAATTGTGTAGAGACAATAGACTTTCTCACTCTGAGTTAAGGCAGGATTGTGTGATAAATTTTAGTCAAAGGTTCTTTGAGTATCAGATGGTGTGCCCACTAGAGATAGAGCCTTCTTTCAAGCCTTCTTTATTATGTATCCTTGTAAAAGAATTCCAAATTAGCTGCTCCTCAGTACCTTTTATATGCACATATGCAACCTACCCAGAACAAAACAAGCATTTACAGCATAAAGAACATTGACAATCTATGTTCTATAGCATAAACTTGAACTATGCTTTTAAAGGAAGATTTTTTGGAAGTTGATTCAGAACTCCGTGTGTAAATGATATTGAAAGAGCAAACATGGAGGGGAGCGGAAAGAGGGGAGGAAATGCACCAGACTGCTTTTGTTTCAAGTATAAAGTGTAGCTCTGTTTGTGAAAAACCGCTACTGTAAGTACCTTGCTCTGCAGTGAGGGCAAGTATCTGAGCTGTCTGCCAAATGTTGTGGTTTATGTCTACTCAAAATCAACACCAGATCTCAGGGCATCCTCATGTAGAAAATCAGTCCTGCAAATATGCAAACACAGAGAGATACTGAATAACTGGTTGTTGTGGGTTTTTCGGGGTCTTTGGCCATGTTCTGAATGTTGTTCTTCCTAATGTTCGCCACTCTCCGTGGCCGGGATCTTCAGAGGACAGGAGTAGCACTCTGTGCCATGGTGCAGTTTGTTTGCGAGATCAGCTGTGAGATCAGCTTTTGTCCTTTTCAGGAGATGGCTGATTATGGTGATCAGTGTGTTTTTGTTGTGGGTGTATTGTGATAAGGAAGAGAGATTATCTGTTACTGTGATTGATGGGTGTCGTTAGCTGGTCTTTTGTGTGCAGTGATCACGGGTCCTTGTGGCTGGGTAGAGTTTGTTGATGTTTTGCATGCTGTATTTTTCAGTCCTGGGAGCCAAGTTTTGTTGCGTTTCAAACTTTCTTCTTTTTTGTTGATGTTCTGCTGATGTTTGTGGATTTCAATGACTTCCCTGTGCAGTCTGATGCAATGATTGCTGGTGTTGTCCAGTATTTCAGTGTTTTGAAATAGAATTTCATGTCCAGCTTGTTTTAAGGCATGTTCAGCTACTGCCAATTTTTCTGGTTGTTTTAGTCTGCAATGTCTCTCATGTTCTTTGATTCTGGTGTGGAGGCTTTGTTTTGTGGTTCCAATATATACCTGGCCATACTGAATAACTCTCAAAAAGTGTCACGATTTGGGTATATGTTTGAATGCTATCGAGACTGACATAATTTTATCTCATTCATCTTTTAAAAATGTTTGTGAGGATTCCAGAATGTAAACTGAATAGACTTGTATATAGTTCTAGGAAGCATTCTATATAGGGTGAGTACACCTGATAACAAAAGGAGGGAGGAAGAAATCACAGAGTAACATTTTATTAGTTTGCTGCGGTGCCCTTCCTGTTTGCATCTGTCTCGATATCCCTCCTAGATGTAGCACAACAAAGGTATGGAAGAACACAGAAGCAACTGAGAGATTTCTCTGAATTTCTTTTCATGCCTTTAGCAGGAGTGAGGAAAGGAAGACCAAAACAAAAACAAAAAACAAAACAAAATAGCAAGAACTGGGAGGATGGTCAGACTAACTAGCAATAGGCATTGGTGAGGCTTTTTAAAAGCAAACTACTTTATTTCTGGTCATTGTGACCACTCTAGGTGGCTTTAATTTCTGAAATGGTGGATTGTGTGAGTAACAGGTCAGCCCTCCTAAGCATATTTTGCTTTGCGTAACAGAACAGCTGCTGTGAGTAATCCTACTTGAACAAAGTAAGAATGACAGATATGTTTCTTTTGTTTCAGTTCACTGTTGAGAAGACAGCAGAACCGGTACAGCCCAGGACAATCCTGAAGTTTCCCCACATCTATGGCCCAAAGCCTGCAGTGACAGCCTCAGAAATTGTTAACAATTCCGACTACACCTTGAAGACAACCGAAGAGCCACACAAGGGAAAACCTGCAGCTCTAGATGAGAAAAGAATGAACATACAAGTCAATGAAGAGCTATTTATTGTCCCTCAAAATGGTGGGCAGTTTTCCAAGTCACACTCTCTTCCCCTCTGCTCTGATTATTGCCCACAGTTTTTCTTCGTGAATAGGGACCAAGTAGAAATTAATTGGCAAGTTAGTTAAGACTTCAGAGCCTTAAAACAATAGAAGTGCAGTGCTCCACTATATCAAGTCTTTAAACAGTACTGCAGCTAGATTATTTCAAGCAAATTCTATGTGCAATTGGTCACATCTGGCAATATTTCATCCTGATGGTTTAATCATCCTGATTGATTTTTCCCCTCTTTGTAGACATTCTTTCAACAGCACAGTTCATTCTAAGGACAATACTCATCATTCAGGCTTCCAGGGTATTTGTGTGCGGGCTAAACCGCAGAAGTCTCTGTGCTGCAAAGTCAGAAGACCAAGCAGTTGTAAGATCGAATCCACGTGACGGAGTGAACGCCCGTTGCTTGTCGCAGCTCCCGCCAACCTAGCGGTTCGAAAGCGTGCAAATGCGAGTAGATGAATAGGGACCACCTCGGTGGGAAGGTAACAGCGTTCCATGTCTAAGTCGCACTGGCCATGTGACCATGGAAGATTGTCTTTGGACCAAACGCTGGCTCTATGGCTTGGAAACAGGGATGAGCACCGCCCCCTAGAGTTGAACATGACTGGACAAAAATTGTCAAGGGGACCTTTACCTTTACAGTGAACTTGCAAATTGGTTTATAGAGAAATTTATTTTTAAATTGGAAAAAATAACTTGACCCTGAATTTCTTTGCCAGCCTCTTGAAGGCACAGTGGCAGTGCTTCAGATACTAGTGCTGTAGTAAAGAAACAAGCTGCTTGAATAGTTCAGCGGTTTAGGTATCTGGCTGCAGAGCCAGTGGCTAGGAGTTCAATTCCCCATTGTGCCTTCCTGCAAGTAGAGCCAGCCTGTGTGGCCTTGGGTAAGCTTCACAGACCCATGATGCCCCCAGAAGAAGGGAATAGTAAACTACGTCTTCTAGTATTCTCTACCTTGAAAACTCTGAAAAGTGTCACTGTAATTCAGAATTGAGCTGACAGCTCATGGTTATTATTTTTAGTAGTAAAGAAACAATAAAGCAAATAGTGTGCTGTTTCTGGAATACCAAATATTAATTGTGAGGATGGATAGGACTACAGCATTAAATGCACAAATGTTATTGAGAATTTAACATTATGTAATGAATCTCTCAATATTCCTTGTTTTTCTTTCTATCGAAAAAAGCACATTTGTTTAATATAACTATCAAAACCTGGCCCAAGTCATAATTTTAAAAATGTAAATATGTATTTCTTTCATTTAAACATTTTTAGTTCCCACCAGGATTCAGAATTTTAAATAACGTAGACATCTCTATGTATGCAAAGGCTAGGGGGGGGGGGGAAGTAGGCAAAAAAAGAAAAAAGAAAAAAAGAGGAATGAAAGCTAAGAGCATAACGACTGGTGGCCAACAGGAACAGTGGTTTTAGGAATACCATTGAAGAGGGAGGATGTTAAAATACTCTAGATATCTAATCCTCTAGAAATCTTCTACATAAAGTGTTTGACCAGTTCATTTTAGTTTCAGACTTTCCATCAGATAGTAGTAAAAGATTTTTCAGATTTTATCTGCATGGATGAAGTGGTACATTGTATATAAGTGTCCATCCTTGTATATTGGGTTGTAGATTCTGCATTTGTTTGATGAACCTGTTAATGAGGCCAGTATACATACAACTCAGCTGGTTGGGTAGCTTAGCAAGTTGGATAATGGTCCAGTGTTTGATTCCCCACTGTACCTCCCAGGAGCCAGGCTGTGTAACAATCTCAGAGCACTACAAGAAGAAAGGAATAGTAAACCACTTCTGAGTCCTTTAAAGGAATCAATTTGATGGCACATATATTATAAACACAGAATCACAGACCTCTGGAAAAGAAATCAAGGGTGACTGAATCCAATCTTTGTGAAACAAGAAATCCCCAGCTCAAATATCCTTGAAAGATAGCCTTCCAGTCTCCCTTCCATTGTCCATGACCTGGTGTGGTCATCTTCTATTCAGATTTTGTCTTCTTAAGCATTAGCTATCACTCTCAGTTTGGGATCATTTACTCATTTGAGGATCATTCCTTCCATGGCTTCATCCAAGTTAATTATAAAGATGTTGAACAACACTATTCTGGGAATGAACCTTATGCACTACATATGTCATTTCTTTCCAAAATGGTGAGGAACTATTGGTCAGCACTCCTTGGATATGGCATTTCAGTTAGATATAAATTTATCTAATAGTGGCATAGTTGAGTCCACATGTTGCCAGCCTCTCCACAAGAGGGACCTTGTCAAAATTCCTGCTGAAATCCAGATATACAGTACTACATCTATAGTAGTATCTGCCAAATTTGCGACTGTATTTAAAAAACAAACTCACAAAACACAGATTATTAGTTTCATTAGACTTGTTTTTCAAAAACCCATGCTGGCTCTTAGGAATCACCACATTCTTTTCTAAGTGCTCACAGATCCATGTTCCCTCCCACCATTTTAAGGTGAGGATAAATATAGGTATTCAATTTCTAGAACACATACTATCAAATCTATTCACTACAGAAAAGAGTCTGAAGGTCAAAGAAAACAAATTGTAGGCCATGAATCTAGTTCTACAAAAATAAACAGTATGATGAATAGAATATTCTATACTGATTTAGCTGATGCAAAACTATTATCTTACTATCTTATTAGCATATATTATGCTATGAGGCTGATAATGAAAAGATAAAATATAGTACTGGAAGAAAATGCTGAAGCTGTTTAAATAGCTCAGATCTTCAGTGTTGAATCTCATGAGGAAGAGGAAGGATGTAAAATGGGTGGGGCAAGAATTATGGGAGCAAATGAATGTCACATTATGAGATGCACAAAAATGAAAAACAGTGCTGTATGGACTATTTGATTAAACTGTAACACTGCAATCAAAATTTTGTTCATGACCTGCATTCAGTTCCAATAGATTCAGGTAGCTGGGTCAACACTGACTCCATCCTTCTGAAGTCGGTAAACTGAGTACTTAGCTTGCTGGGGGATGGAGGCAGGAAATATCCTGTATAATTAAATTGTAAACTGCCCAGAAAGTGACATGGGGCTGTAAGTGACATGGGGCTGTAAACAAGCAGTATACAAGTATAGATACCCAGTGTGGTGTAGTGAATCAAGTGATGGACTAGGACTTAGGAGGCCTGGGTTTGAATCCCGGCTGAGCCATAGAAACTCACTGAGGTTGTGGAACTGGTAAAACTAGTCCTTAAATATCTCACTTACTTACTTACTTACTTACTTACTTACTTACTTACTTTATTTATTTATTTATTTATTTATTTATTTATTGGACTTGTATACCGCCC